GGTGTGGCCTTGGGGGTTTTCGGTTGCACTTCTAAATGATTGTGCCTACAGGAAGACAGCTCTTACTATAATTGGGGAGATAGGAAAAGTTGGTAGCATGCACCTGCATAGTTGGCGCAACACTGTTCCCAGAAGAGAGATTTATGAGCAAGCATCAACAAGGCTTTGTAAAACTTGCCTTAATTTCTAGTGATGAGTTTGTCGTAGGTGTACGCCCCTAGTAGCATTTCCAACCGGAATAAATTATGGAATCCTGGGCGAAAAGTCGCGCGTTGGAGGCCGGATTTATACGCGATTTTTTACCTAGGGCGCGCCGGATTCTGGTGCGATAAGCCGTGACGGAATCCGCTGCGCTTTCACTTCGCCAAGTTCTCTAGTAAAACTGCCCTTCCCAGCAGTAAACGATGGTCAATTTCGTTTACTTCGTTATTATTTGAGACCCAATGGTCATTTGCGCTGCGCCATTGCCTGCTCCTAAATTCGAGAAAGAAAGCCTTTGTGTACTGTGAAAGCCGTACTCTCCCTTTGGAGATCAACTTTCTCTAACCAACCTTGCTCCATTTCGTACAAGTTTAGATTCCATAACACGCGCTATCGAACCACTGGTATAGTCGGTAGGCCATGGATCTTTAAGGTGGATTGTTTGCGCTGTGGGTGAATCCTTTCACTGAAACCTATACAGATGTTAAGAGAATGAAAGTGGGTCGAAACCCAACTCTAGGCCGAAAAGGATGTCCTTGGTGTTCGCGATTTGCGGTATCCCAGTCGTGGCAGGTGATTTAACTCTGGGGTCGGTGGATAAGTTATTGCTGGGACAGACGAGCTTAAATTTTTAGCAAGTAATTGCGTTACCTAACAGATTTGCTACCGTTGGTATTATTTTCTGTCAATCAAATAGAGTAAATATATAATCCTTAATGCAGCCAGACGCCAACATTCGTCAAAGAGTTTGTAATTTGTGTGTGGGATTGACGAGTCCTTCGCACGCCTAATTTTTATATCGATCTTGGACGCTGCCAGTAATCTCAGTAAGTGTTGCTCGCCTTGAGTGCCCAAACGGCGGTACTTGCATACCGTTCTCTGAGTTAGTTTCCGATTGCATCTCGAACAGACAACCGCGTAGCCTGCTAGTACTTCGGTTAGTCAGCTACTCCCTTCTTCGTCGCCAACTGGGTGTGCTCAGCCAGGTGCCGCCTCAGTTTGAGGAGTAAATCTTCGAGGATTTCATCTTACACAAGCTTGACTCTGACTGTTGCCGGCTTGGAGGTGGCTACCTGGAGGCAGGGGCGAAAGTTGAGTTTGAGCACACCCCCAAGCTGTTGCGTCTGCTGGACTAACGTGTCAGCTGGTTGAAGTTATTCCAGAATATAGCCGCGATCTACTGCAGTGAGAGATGACCGCAGGAGACATTTTGAACATACATCCTGGCCGGTTAATTCATTAATGGTTAATACCCTTGCAGGAGCAAAAACGGACGCATATTGACTGTGATGCAGCCGTGTAAGCTGTTGTTGGCCATTCGACGTGCAATAGGACGGTAGCGAAAGCGAATATTTAAGTGCGGAAGGTTAAGAGATCTATACGTTGCATTGTTTGCCGACTGGAGTCTTAGAACATTGTAGGAGCTCGACGCATGTGCGTCGAGCACGCTTATAATATGAGACATTCGCAAAGCCTTAATAAATTGCAGCCAGCTCACTACTCTGATGGTGGGAGCAAGGAAGTTTCCCAAACGTCAAAGTGAGCATTGTTTGGTTCGCAAAATCATACATGTATATGATGGTAGGGGGCTCACCGATCTGATTCAGTAACATTTTATGTCCCTCGGTACCCTGGAACTCA